CAATTAGAATTCCTGCAACAACTGAGCAATCCTGGGATGTAGGAAAATTTCATCTATGCATAGTATCGGTTGTCTGTTATTGTAACAAAATACCCTACACAATTTATATAGAGAAAGAGATTTAGGGGCTGCCAGTTTGGGAGGCTTTGTCTGGGGGATCTGTGACAAGGCAGCATATTAACACTGCTCAGGTCATCACTAGAAAGCAAAAGAGGAAGCAACTAGCTTCTTTTGTGACATGAACCTAACGACATGAAGACCTCTCAATAGGTCCTACGTTTTACAGTTGTCCACCACCTCTCAACTGTGAAAAGTGAGAACCAAGACATTAACTCACAGGCTTCTGGAAGACATTGTAATCTAACCTATGGTACTGTCACCATCTCAGATCCACTTTATTTTTGTAAACTAGTAAAGAAATCCCTTCTTTCATTGCCAGTTTTATTTATTTGAACATTTTCTCTTATTTTTATTCTTAATGATAATTTCGGATCTGTCATTTTGGTTATGTATTTTAAAGAATAACTTTCATTGACCTGTATATTTTTCTATATTCTGTTTCATTTATTTTCAACATAAACAGTTTAATTTTGTTTTCCCCCTTGTGCCAGATGTGGGGAATAACATCACAGGGTATGTGAAGGAGGAGTCCAGATGTGAGAGACAGAGGACAGGACAGAGATGGAGTCTGCCCTCCAAAGACACCCACCCACACGGCCCTGCTTTGAGCTAATTCCTCTAATAGGCTCCAAATGCTGTCATTTCCACTACCTCCTCACAGTGTCACCAGATGGGAACCTTCAAGACAGGAGCATCTGGGAGACAACCCAGATCCAGTCTACATACAGCACTGCCCTTTCTGTTTGCTGTCACAGAAGTTCTTCACAGCTTCCTCTGGACTTGCAGAAATGTCTAAAAGTCTTTCATTTTAGCTGAAGTTAGTGATTCAGACTAAGAAACTGTCTCTTATTTTGTTTGTCTGGGGCTGTATGAGTTTCTTTATTTTTGAAGATTAGTTTTACCACATCCAGAATTGTTGGTTAATGGGTTTTTCTTTCATCATCAGGAATATGCTATCCAACTGTTGTGTGTGACCTCCATGACTTCCAAAAGTGGTTTTGTGTGTTCTGTTTCAGGTTGTATTCAGCACTAGAAAAACTCAAGGCCTTGTGCATTCTATTCAAGCACTGTACTGCTGAGATCCACCCCTGGCAGGAAATCAGCTTAGAGTCTTACTGAGCATCTTGCATATGTTTTTGGCTCAGCGCTCATGTTTTCATGTTTGCCTCCCTGCAGATTGACCATTGTATGCATAATATACAAATCTCTGTCTTTACCCTTTTCTGATCTTATTGAGCTCCTTAGATAGGAATATTAATGCTGTTTGTAAAATTTGTACATTTCTAGCTGTTGTTTCTTCCTGTCCACCTCTCTTCTCTTCTTGTGAGACTTCTACTGTGTATAAATGGTTTGCTTGGTAGTGTTCTCTTCTTTTTACTTCATTTCTAATCTGTTAAAGTAGGTCATCTCAATTGGACTTTATTTGTATTTACTATTTCTGTCAACTTAAATCTGCTATTAAGCTCCTCTAAGGATATTTTTTCATTCATTATTATACTTTCCACTCTATAATTTATTTCTTTATTTCTATCTGTTTATATTATCTACTTGATAGATAATTCATTCGTTTCATATTTTGCTATCATTCTGTAGACTAGAGGCCCCTTTTAGTTGTTTGAACATATTTAAAGTCGTCTTCTAGTAAGTACAACACCTGGCCTTGCTCAGGGGTGGTTTATTTCTCCTCCGCTCTCCCTATGCATAGAGTACATGTTCTTGTTTCTTGATATGCCTCATGATACTTTTACTGAAGACTGGCCTCTTATGGACACCATGTAGCAAATCTGGAAGTGAGATTCACACCACTCTCTGTGTTTAGGTTGATGCTCTGAACCTTATTTTTGCTATGTTGATTTACTTATTTGCATGTTTATTGAATTTCCTAGACCAATTCTCTGAATTCGGTGACTTTTTGAGTGCTCTACTGGGTCTCTCCTTGTATAGCCTCATGGTCAGTTAAAGATCGGACTGACATTTTCTTAAAGATAGTGACTGGGTAAGGTTTTCTTATCTTTGCTGGCAGGCTTTAAATACTTCTTAGGGTACACCTTCAAGGCTCAGGCAGAAGTTTGCAAGTCTGTTTTGACCTTCAAATGCTATTTGCATAGAACTTCAAGATCAGTCAGAAGTGAACATTTGAGATCTTTTTAGGTGTTTTCTGGTTACACTAACGTTCTCTAGTAGGTGTTGCCTTCTAAGTTTCTATGAACATTGTAACTAGTAAAGCTGCTGTGAATCTCTCTCTCTCTCTCTCTCTCTCTCTCTCTCTCTCTCTCTGTCCATTTCTTTCTTTGCAATTCTTGGGCCAGTTGCTCTTGGCCACAGTTGTCATTGCTAGCTTAAGAAGCTGAGGTGTTAGGTAATTGCCATGGACTGACTTCAACATACGTTCCAAAGATAAAGCCTTTCTCAGTGAACAATATCGGAGTCATATAACAAACCTTAGACCTATAAATGGGACTTTCTGGATATCTTCCAGTTATCTGAGAATGGGACGTCTTGAATAACTCCAATCCTGAGGTATTCCCCAGTGTGTTAAGTTGCTATTTTATGCAGTTATTAGGGTTGAGATGACTTTGAATCTATCTGCTTTCAAAGGAACTGTAGACATACAGGTCACATTATAAACCCCACATGTCTTGTGATTATTATTGGCAGAGTTCTGTCTTGCTTGATTAAATGTTCCTGGTGAGGCTGCAAGCTTCTCGTTCATTTTCAGAATTCTGCAATGGTTGTTTGGCAATTGTTTCTGATGTTTTCATTACTTCTGTGAATGTGACTTTTAAGGCTCCTAGACCCATCATTCTTGAAGGTCTCCCTGTCCCAAAACACAGCAGTACCTTTAATTATTAAGCAAGAGAGAAATGAAAGTCTAAGCATACATCAGCAATGGAAAGTCTAGATACATTGTGGTGTCCTTCATGTCATAGCAACAGCTACTAACAGAGAGGTAAAAGTGGAGTGTGTGATAACATGTGAGAGACAGATGAAAAACCATTTTACATAATAGGTGTGATGTATGTGAGCAAAATTAACTCATTTAAGAAAATAATGAATTTCTCTTGAGAGTGGGTAGACTTAGAAGAAAAAAAGGAAAGATTGTCCCTTATTCCAAATACTACCAATAAAGAAAAGGTGATTTTTTTTTAAATTTTGGTTCTCTGTATATGAATTTTGTGTTTTCCTGAGTTTTCCAAACCTCCTATATTTTCCTTTTTTAATGATGACAGTTACCTAAGAAATATTTGTGCCATGCTGAATCCCTACTTGATCTAACAGGTCTCAAACAGCCCCCATTTAATTCTGAAAAACTCCTTTCAAAGTATGTACTTCCTGTTCAAGAACTTGGTTGGATCACACATCTGTATTTCACCATCAAATATCTGAATGGTAGAACACTTTAGTTCAGGGAGCCCTTTGAAAATCTCATGCAAACCATGTACCATCTCTCCAGTGAAAATGTACATGTGCACATTATTTTCTTAATTGTGAAGCATTCAGTTAGATGAACTGTTCAGGGCAAGTACTGAAAGCAACAAAATTCATCAATATGATATAACACAAATTATAAAAATGGTTTTTCTTATGTTAGTTGTAGTCTTCCCTTTTGTAGTGACATATTGTTTATGATTTAATAAAGTCACTGGAGATCAAAAGGCAAAGCTAGCCACAGCCACAGAGCCAGGCAGTGGTGGTACACACCTTTAATCCCAGGACTCGGAAGACAGAGGCAGACGGATCTCTGTCAGTTCAAGGCCACACTGAGCTACACGAAATTGCTCCAGTCTAAAAAAGAAACAGCTCACACGAAGGTGATTCAGCACTTGGGATCACACACCTTTAATCCCAGCAAGTGGAGGCCGGAGTGATATGGCTGGGCAGAGAGAGGAATATAAGGTGGAAGGAGACAGGAGCTTGGAGGAGTGAAGCCGGAGGTTTGGTGGAGACAGCTTTGTGCTCTGAGGATTTGTGGAGACAGGATCATTCATTTTGGTCTGAGGTAGAGGTAAGAGCTACTGGCTTGGCTGCTTTGCTTCCCTGATCTTTCAGCTTGAACCCCATTATCAATCTTTTTAATATTCATGTTACAATGAAGGCATGTGGAAGAGGAACAAAGACCTAGAAACCTTGGGTCTTCATGTGTCTGTGGGGGGGGCGTGGAATTTTGTATATGCATAACTATATTCAAAAGAGAAAGAAGGGTTCTAGAAAGGGGTGACTTGCCCAAGACTATCCTGTGAGATGATAGCAAACATGGGCTACCTCTAAGAGCCCAAGCTTTTAGATCAAGGTTCTTCTCTCATGTTACCTGTAACCATAGCACAAATGGCAGTACATGCTAGGTCTTCTATGGCTGTTAGAGAAAGACAAGCTCTCCTCACTGTGGTTTCTTTCTCTGATCTTGGCACTCACACTTGATTCTAAGCATCCTCGGAATAAAGGAAGATAGTGTGGAACCTGGCCTGGTACCCAGCTGGTGCTTGTCAGATTTAAGTGACCACACTGTTCCCAACCAGATAAGAGGAACCAAACCCCAAGAGAGTTAGGTAGTCCATCCGTAAGACAATACTTTGTCACAACACAGCCCTGGGGCAACTGGGTACTGAATGATGTATAAATACTTTCTGAGAGAAGAGTTGGATAATTTGGTGTATGAGTGTGAAGACAGGGTTGTAAAAGCTACAACTTGGAAGGATAAAGGACATTTGAAGAAAAGGGAAGAAACAGTTACCAAATAAGCTGTGAGAAAAGCAAGAGCTCAGAGGTTAGGGGTCTAACAGCAGATGTGAACTGTGTCCTCACACAGTTTATGCTTTGTGTCCTTATCCTGGTGCCAATCTGTAATCTAACCATCCTCCTGTCTGTTTGGCTTTCCACAGCTCCCCTTTGCAGAAGGCCTGTATCACTTTTATCACAATGGCCTTTCAAAGGCCAAAAGAAGACGCAGTCTACACCACAAGCGGCAGCTGGAGAGGGACCCCAGGGTAAGTTCTGTCCAGAACCCTGCATCTTGATCTCCACTACCACACCAAAACTCACTTGGTGTATACAGAGGGTGGGCAGTAGACGTTGGAATGCTGGGGTATTGTATATTTTAATAGAAGACATGGATCACTGGAAGACACCATAGACTCACTGCTCCCATTTTGTGCATAGTAAATAACCCTAGGCCACATGTACAGGAATGGGGGAGGAAACTCGGGTGCTTCATTACCTTCTCTTTAATTATTACATGAAGATTGCAGGTTGCCTGGAAGCATGCTTTGGCCTGTGATGAATGGAAAGACACGTTGGTTTACTGAGTTGTTGACGGGAGGTTTCTATTGGCAAATTCATGCTTTGAAAAGGTTCCTGTGTTTCATATTATGAACAGAACAATATGTAGACCAGTAGATGACGGTCTTCTCTCCACAGGCAGTGGGTGTCTCGGTATCCGTGAATGGCTGCAGCCCCAGACCTCAGGCTTCTTCCCTTGTATCTTCTTCTACTGGCTCATGTGTCCTCACTCCTCGGCTATCTTCTTTTGTTATTTTAGTAATATTTTTATTAAAATCATTATAACATTTCCCCCTTCCCTTTCCTGTCTTCAATTTATCCCCTTTGCTCCTTCTCAGATTCATGAACTCTTTTTTAATTATTGCTGTATTTCTATTAAAAAACACTTGAATATAAATACAACCTTTTAAGTCCTCTTAGTGTCATATATATTATGGGTTCCTGGGAATATTGATTCTCCCTCCTTCAGAAGTCCTTAGCTGCCTGTAGGTCTATGTCTAGAGGTTCAACCCCATGAACCTCCATGTTAGGATATCTGTTGGTGTCTTTGTTCAGGTCTTGGTTAGGAAACCATATTGTTAATGTTTCATGGGTACATCTTCCATGCCATTTCTAGGAGATAAAATCTCACAGAAGATTTCCTGGACCTCTGGCTCTTGTAATCTTCCTGCCACCTTTCTTGATGTTCTCTGAGTCTTGACTGAAGGAATTGTACAGTAGATGTGTCCACTAGGGCTAGGCACTCCATGATCAGTCATTCTCTGTGTTGTGACAGTTATGAATCTCCATGTGCTACAAAGAGGACTCAGCTGTCTTCTTAAAGTTCATGATCTCTACCCTTTACCTCTAATTTTTATTTCACTCTTGGACTCCAGATCTTACTTTTGACTCCTTGGACAGCTAAAATTTGGGTTTTTCAACCAAATGTAAGATCTTAGCTATGAAGAGTTCCTCTCCAATGTTCTTCTTCCTTCTCTTCAGAGCAGGAGCTTTAGCCATTATGGTAATATCCAACTACCCATGTACTTATATTTTCATCCCACTGGGGATATTTTGGTTTCCTTAGGTAAGTTCTAAGAAGCAAAGTACCACCAAGGTCAAGTTTCTGTCTATACTTTGAAGGCAGTGCAACCTCTTTCTTATGACTTTTAAGGAACAGACAGTAAGTGGGTGAAATGTTTGAGTTAGGGGTTTGTACAAGATCTGTTTTAGATCTGTTGGCCTGGGAATTTATTCTTCTGAAACTGATTAACATTCCATCAATTTTAATTGGGGCTTTAATTAGAAAGTAAAGGCTCACAATCAAGTCGCCAAATGACAGACCACAGGCAATTTTTATTTATTCCTTAACAGGGGTCTTTCCATACAACCTGAGGGGAATATTGATTCTAAGAAGCCATCTTGTCATTGCCTTTGCAATAAAGACCAAGTGTCTAATGCTGAATCTGTTGTATGAGTCACCACCATGACCCAAGTAAAGAGCTCTCCTTCATAGCCTTGTCCTTTGCCATACTAACTGCCCAGGGACACCTTTGAGCACATTGGAAGGGAATTATTAATATCATTTTTTAATCTAAGTGGGTACCATTGGGTAAGGACCACTCAGGTGTACTATGAAACTGCTCCTCCCTCATGTCAACCATGCCCCAGCTTACCTATCATGGCCAATCAGTTTCCTTCCACTCATATAATAATATAGAAGCCATGTTAGTTTTTCTTTTCACTTCAGTAATTCAAAGGCATTGCCCTCCCACATACTCAAAAACACATAAAAGGAATGAGGCAAAAACAGAGAGATACTTCCAAGCCCAGGCAGGCTGAAAGCAGAACTGAAACTGTCTGAAAGGACATCATTTGGATCAGGGAGATTATGTGATACCATAAGCTGACATTGTTTCATTTGAAATGATCTTTAACATGGTGATTCTTGGTGCTGTGTGATGTTTACAAAAGGGAAGATAATGAGATGGGTTAGCAATAAAGGAGTTCACATTGGTAATTCTATTCATTTGTTTTTCTTTTCAAAACATTATCCTTTATCACTAACAGAGGCGTCTGTTCCCTTTCGTCATGCATTTTAAGTGCCCTAGTAGCCAACTGCCTGGACCTAGTAGAAGTAACCAGCTGCCCTACCCATAAAGGCCCACAGAAGTCATCAGGGAACCTAGGCAAGAATAAGGAGCCTTAATGTCATCAATAATAAATTCATCTTAGGGGAATATATAGAGCCTGAAGCTCTCAGACATCTTCAAAAAAAAAGTTGTTTTTTGTTTTTTGAAAAAGAAAAGTCTACTTACAACTGCTTCATTCCAAAATGTTACATTAAGGCTTTGATCTTTTCTGTGTGATATTCTTATGGTCATATAATGTTAGGTATCTGCACAGTTCAGAATTGGCAGACACCATTCTTAAACAAAAATCATCGGTGATTATTGCAAAAGTAACAACGTGAAAATTCACCCTGAGGCTTTATAAACCTTAACAAAAATGCAAGCATGTATAGTTTGGGGGTCATGCAAGCATTTGTTGTTTGGGGGTATGCCAACTTCGGTATTTGTGCGGGCTAGTTTTATAGCAACTGACACAAGCTACAGTCTTCAGAGAGAAGGGAACCTCAACTAAGAAAATGCCTCCATAAGATTGGGCTGCATCAGCTCCTGCCACCAGGTTCCTTCCCTGTTTCATTTGTTTTCCTGGCTTCCTTCAATGATGACGAATGACATGGAAGCTCTGGGGAAATAAACCCTTTCCTCCCTGAATTGTTTTGGACAGCAATAGTAACCCTAAGTAAGACAGAGTGACTAAGCATATACCAACAGATTGCAAAATGAAAGTAAATAATAGCAAAACAAAAAGCAGATGGTCTGGGGAACTTGATGAATAGTTGATACAGGCTCTCATCTCTTGCAGAGATGTCGAAAATTGTGATGCATGAGCCGTAATTTAAGAGTAAGTTGTTTCTTCCTTCTCTTAAAATGTCTTCTAGACCATAGCCTCTCAAATTGTGTACTACAACCCACATGGGGTTGTGTAATAAATATTGGAAATATAAAGTAATTGGCAACAGAAAAGGTTTCTGACCATATGACAGCCAAATGAACAATGCATCCAAGGTGTTTCTGGCAGCCTTTGGCCATATTATGCCATATAATTTCACTGCAGCCTGGTCCTAACACACACGTACACTTTGTCACACAGAATGCAATGTCAACCAATACTTTTCAGAGGGGTAGAGTCCATGATGGCTTAGTGAGAGAACGACAGAGATCTCACATCTTGATCTGCAGCCATGAGGCAGAGATAATGAGAAAGCACAGTCTTTTGACACCGCAAGGCTAGCTAGCTCCCAGTGACACATTTCCTACCACAAGGCCACACCCCCTAACCCTTTCCAGACAGTTCCACCAACTAAAGACCAAGCATTAAAATATATAAGGCTGTTGATACTAATTTCATTCAAACCACCAAACACTTCAGCTCAATCTCAAGCACTGTTATAAATTGCAGTGTTTTACTGTAAGTTTTCTTCTCATACAGAAATATAATGGCTTAATGATGGTACCAGCATTCCTCAGCATGGATCAAATTAGTATTGTATTATAATGTTTGACTTTAAAAATTGCTGTTTGAGCTGATGACTTGAGTTTCAAAAAAAATCATTGAATTAATTTTGGCTGAGACAGAATTTCCAGCAATTTCTCTAATAGCCCTAAACACCATTTTGTACTACATGTTTATGAAAAGAGGCCAATTATAAAATAAAAGTATCCATCAACTCTGAGAAATATTAAAAATGCTTAATCAAATATTTAGTCAAGATTTAATACTTTAATCAAAAACAAATATATCTAAGTATGAAAATATCTATCTAAACATGCAAATTTGCCCTCATCTTTAATAAATGTGGAAATTATACATGTACCACAGAAAACTACCTTAAAACAGTTTGTGTAGCTATTTTATATTTCTTGGTACTCGAACTCACAAAGAAAGAAATCTTGACTACAAAATGGTCATGGGCTGAAAATGTTAAGAAGTTCAATCCTATACCAACCAATCCCAACAATGATGTCACCTCAGCACCGTCCTTCCTGGTCCCTTTACTCACTGTGACTTGCAAAAGGTAATATAAGCCCAAAGAACTGCATGTATGAAAAAAAGATGGGCTGAGCTACAACAAGATCTTGGGGTTACATTCAACTAGGAAACTTTTTGGCCCAAGAAACCACTATTTATTACCAACCCAAAAACTTACATGAGTGAAAGACAAGCAGCTGATTAAGTGAAAGATGGATGGGTGCAGTCGCCTTCTGGTTTTGTTTGGGTTGGCTTTAGAATAGAAACTTCATCAATGTCCATTCCACTTAATGTTAGTGAAAGCTAAAAATGCTATAAAGGGGCTCTAAAGTGCCACCTTTAATACACTCATCAATATGCAGACATGTATATTATTTCAAAAGTATGCTCTCTTCCAGTTTTTTCCTCTGTGAAAATGTTAGCATACTATTGAGTATCATGACTTTAAGCTTGTGTGTTGTGTTTTTCTGCAATGTCTTTATGTAGTGTGTATATGAATATACTGTAGAACTTGCACAAGTGATGGCTGAATAAATGAATGAATATCAGCTCTCAATTTTAAATAATGAAATAGTATTTCTCTTTTCTATAAAATATATAGCTAGGGAATAGAAGTATAGTCCTCTGTATA